TTTATGACATTCGGGTTGTTTTTTACTAAGAATTACACGCTCGCATTTTTGAGGATGATAATTTTTTTTGGGTTGGAGAATTTCTTCGCGGTATCATGCAAAAAAAACTAACGGAAAATGAATTGAATACTCAGATTGTCAAAATTCAAAATTTGCTTATACCATGACGACGTTTATTGTGTGATTTTTAGGATGAAAAAAAAATTGTCTAGAATGCTTTCTTTAGAATAGAAGAAAAATATCACGTCTAGAGCTGGGGAAAACTCAGTTTTGGTTAAAATTGATTACTATTTTAAGAGACCAGGGAAACTTCAAAAGGAACCTCAAAATTGATTTTTAATAAGTATACAATTTATTTAGAAGTTTTTTTCAAATTTCATGCTTTAATTTCTAAAATTCATGGAAAAAAATTGATTAAAAAATCAAAACTCAAACCGCGAAAAATTATATTTGAGCGTACACGTTTTTAAAGACTATTTTTGAAGCGAACAATTTTTTTTAAAACGAATCAAAAAACATCTACTATGTTCAACGTTTAGTTTTTCCTTTGCTGAGGTTTGGGTATTCATGATAAAGTATCAGTAAGAGCTTATTTCTTATAAGAGGTCAGTTAAAGTATTCTATGATGACGCTTTTTTATTTTGTCTTTCATCAAGTGTTTAAAGGATAAAATTTCAAGGAAAAATATCACTTTTCAGTTTTTGAAAAGGAAGCTCAAGAAAATTTTAGGGCTATAAATATTTAATTAAAATAACAGTGAAAGTTTTTTCTTAAATTGTTATAGTTTTAATATTTAGAGTTTAGCAACCAAAGTAGTCTTTTTCTATAAATTATTCCCCTGTTAATTATATACCCTTGATGAATAAATAAAATCCTGGTTTCTAAAGGCACTGTTTGCTTCCCACCGCGCAGTCCATATTTAGTGTTTGTTTTGTTTCCAGGTGTTCATTTTTTTGGCTCAAAATCTGGTAACACAAAATTAAATTGCCATTTTCAGTTAAATATCGTATAAATATATCTTTTGGATATAATTTGATGTGTGTTACTAAGAATATAAGGTAATTGCTTCCTCGTTTGTTTGGAAGTTTTAGATGGTGGCGTACCTCATGCTTGAAGGACCGAATGCTTGAAATTTAGTTTAGCTTACTTTGAATTGAGTATTCAAAATCTCAAAGTAAATCGTGAAAATCTCAAAGTAAGAAAATAAATCCAGGCCATTAGTGTTAATACTGACCGACTAGATAAAAAGCAGATGACTTTTCAAGACTGAAAAATTCTTATGAACTTGAACTCATAAATCTTGATTTTTATCTGAATAGTATTGCGGTTGTAACCTGCAATTTGTATTATTTTCGATTATTTTTCACTGATTTAAAACATTTTCTGTTAATATTGATTTCGATTTTGGGAGAAAGGCAGTTAGCCAATAGGAACGCTTAGCGATTTTGATTGGTTGAAACTTTTCAAGCATTCGGTCCTTCAAGCATGAGAACCCTCCCCGTTTTAGATAATTGTTTGGATTGTAAACTATTAATTGAATGATTAGCGATGACTCAAGTACGCATTGTCCGAGTTGAGAAAAAAATATATCTACAAGGACTACAATTAGTGGATTTTGTTCCAGAAACAATCGAGGTCAAATGTATAATAATCATATAGAAGACCGATCAATCTAAATTCCGAAGGCAAAGAACATGTTTGAACAAATAATATTAGTCTTGATAAAATTCGATCTAAAAACATTGATTTTCTTTTTGAAGCTGAAGAATAAGCGAAGCATGGTGGCAGTCATATAATTGCTGGTTCGAACTTTGCATTTGCGTTAAAATTTGCGCTGTCAACTTTTGCAAGTAGGTATATCATAGTTAGGCTTTGATATTTGACTCTAAGATAGGCCACTGGCTGCTCAACTGAATCAACTAAACACAACTGAGTCCCTCGTTATTGAGTGACTGGCGTCGAAACACAACTGAAGCTGAATAAAACACCAACAGCACCAACACCAAAAAGACCAACAAGGAAAAAAAAAATTTGCGAAATTTTTTTTCTGGTTTTCAGAAACAACACTCCGTCTAATTTTTTGTTTTTTACTTCTAAGTCTCTATGTAGTTGGTTTGAATGAAAACTTTTTCGATGATATTCAAATAAGTTAAAAAATTAAATACAAATAATTCCGAGAAAGTCTGCTAATTAGCATTATTTACAAAGCCAAACTGTTTGTTTTGTGATTTATATGCGGATTCCGCAGAAAGGACGCTCCCTTTGACTTTCCGTTGTTCTTCCGTTTTCTTTGATCGTTCCGACAAATTTTCAACATGTTTAAATACTTGTCGCTGGATTCCAGAGACATACACACACTAAATTGTGCACATATTCAGTGCACAGTTTAGCCTCTCAAATTATTTTTACCAGTAAAAGTATAAAGAAAACTGAATGAAAAAAAGATCGCTCACCAATACAGTATTTCACGGCTTACAAGACACCGAAAGTGTTCTTCCCCTCCTCGACCTCCTAGCCAAAATCGAATTATAAGGAGATACGCAGTATTTTTGCCTTTGCTCAAATTGTTTCGAAGACAGTGCTCAAAGCTCATAAGACGTTAAAGAGAAATTCTAGAGAATTTAACAAAATGATGTAAGTTTCTTGATTAAACATAGCCAGAAGACAGTCAGAAAACAGTCAATGAACGCATGTAAATAGGAAAAAAAACTACTAACTTTTATTAACAATATCCCCTTCCTAATTTCGAAGAAAAATAAATGACCTTGAAACTCTTTGAATTTCTAAAACGTGTTATGATTTGCCTTTTTTTGATAAAAGACAAATTTCGACTTTTTAACTAGCCATTTTGGACAAAAATTTTTAATATCACTAAAAACGGTATTGTTGTCCTGAGCCTAAAATTGAAAATTTATACTACCTGTGAGATTTTTTTGTAAAGTTATGGGGGCTTAAAGAACGCCATTTTGGCCAGTTTGGGACTACTAACGCGCGATATTTTTCGCGTTATTAACGCGTAAGCGGTGAATTAATTCGTCTTCGAAATTGTTCTAAATTGGTTGAAGGAAGCTTGTTGACCATAAAATTTTTCTCTTTGTACTTTATATGGCATGTGGGTTAATGATTTTCAGAAAAAAACTAGAAATTAAAAAAAGTTTTCGTTTTATTTTTTTCTCTTTTTTCTCTTACTTTTTATATGCGGATAACAGTCAATGAACGCATGTAAACAAGAAAAAAATTACTTACTTCTATTAAAAATATCCCCTTCCTAATTTCGAAGAAAAAAAATTTCCTTGAAATTCTTTGAATTTCTAAAACGTGTGATGATTGGCCTTTTTTGATAAAAGTGACCCAATTTGATTAAACTGGAGGAGTTGGTATGTTTTTTATTCCGCTGGAAAAAGCTGAAAGTTAAATTCCGTTTCCCAAATAAAAATTCAATCACGTTTTCTGTAATATTTGCACTTTTACTGTTCAGTCGAGGAGTTTGCCTTCTTTTAAGAAAAGGAAATGAATTGAGTTTGAAAAAAAGTCAAAATTCAAACCGCGGAAATGTAAATTTGAGATAAATTTTATTTCCTTTCCCAAAAAACGAGTAAAAAAACAACAATCCAGAAAAAAAATCCGAACTATTTTCCCCGATCCTGAAACACTAAACTGTCACTTTTAACCAAGGAACAATTTTTTTTGGATAAAAAACGAAAAATAAAACCTTTCAGTTTTTCTCCTAACAATACTGGAATTGGAATTTTCTGACAGTTACTCTGGTTGATTATTATTTGCATCAATCACATAGTAAATTTGAAACAATATAAATCTTTTGATTTAAATCAGTGGAAAAAATTTCTAGCCCTTTCAATACAGAGAGTAGTTGCCGATTTGCCAATTTACTAATCAAAATTCATGATATTTAATTTTTAATTTCTACTTAATGAAAAATTAATAAATTAGAAGATGGTTTCAGGTGTTTAGCACGTTTCAAAAAAAAGCAAAAAAGATTCCGTAAAGTTTACCGTATTTCTAGCTAAAAGACTCACTCGATATTTAAATCTCAGTTTTTCTTTACAGCCACACATCAGACAAACGGAGCATTTTGGCTTGATCCTAAAATGATTTTAAAAATTTTGATTTTTGGTCTCCGAAATTCTGAGTTTTTGTTTTAATTTTTATGTACCAGTTTCAGTAATAAACCCTTTTTTGACCAAAACAAGAGTAATTTTAACGCGTAAGCATAGAAATAATTCGTCTTGGAAATCGTTCCAAATTGGTTGAAGGACGCTTGTCGGCCATAATTTATTAATTAAGAGGAGCAAAATTTATCACTTTGTACTTTATATGGCATGTGCGGTGATGATTTTCAGAAAAAATTAAAAACAAATAAAGTTTTTGTTTATTTCTCGTTTTTCTCTTATTTTTTCATGTTATCACTCTTCATAGACTTTTCAAGGCAACGGAACATTCAGGGCTTCGGCCTGATACGAGCAGTCTCGTTTTTGTTTCTAATCCAATTTTCTTCATTTATTCTATTCGCTGCTCAAAAAATGCGTTTTTTCACAAGACGTTTATTTTTTAACACAAACGCGGTTTACAAGCCAAGAAATAAATAAGTGAAGAAAACAGGTTTCGAGAAAAAAAATTCTTAAATTTTCATGTTATATATTTGTGACAATTAAAACCTCCAGAACACAAAAATTACTAAGCCAAGTAGAATTCAGCCTTCAAAAATTGGAGGAAACATTACACCCAAGAAAAATAAGCTTTATTTACCCCAAGAACGAACTTAACGCTATCAAAACATAATTAAATTTTGCAAGATTTGATTACCCAATTATTTAATCTTGACAGAATTGAAAGTAGAAGAATTGAAGAATTGTAGAATTGAAGAATTGAAAATTGCATAGTTGCAGTGTCGGAGAAAGGTAAAATTTTACCCCGAAAGTGTTGTTTTCTTCGTAGGCAGGCTATGGGGCTATTAAATGAAATAGTTGAGTAAATATCACCTTTCGAGGCACTTTTTGTTAAATCTCTCCAACACCGTGCTCTTCTGAAACTTGACACAGTCGGCGCCTGCCTCCTTGGCCGCCTTAATCATTTGCTTCGCTATCCCCACATCCCCCTGATGATTCTGCCCAATCTCAGCTGTAACAGAAAGTTAGGGAGTCAATGAACTCAAGCAAACCAAGGCTCTCTTTTTTCAATTTTTGGCAAATATTACATCTCGCTAAAGCTCTTTATATTTCAAAAGCCTCTTTTGATTTTAACTTTTCCCGTACAGTAATACGGAAAAGTGTCAACTAGTTCAAAAAAACCAAAAACTATAGATTTCTGACAAAAAAAAACACCTCGTAAAAGCCCGTAGTGCTTCAAGAACCTTTTTCATTGACATTTTACCCGGGTTGACCAAAAATGCTTATCATACAATTCTCATAAACGGGAAATTTCTTTTCATACAATTTCATACAATTCCATACGTACAGAAAATTGCATGAAAACTCTATGATAAGCATTTTCCCATAAATGGAAATTGTATGAAAGATGTTTTCTTCATAAAACAAAAAGTTGTTTTTTGTTCGTAAATTTATATTCTGACAAATTTTCAGTAGTTTTTGCAACCGAACACAAGTGACAAAGACCTTGGTTACTCAAAGCACCAAAGGTTGGACGGTCTTGCATTTACAATGCATAGAAAACGAACTGAATTGTCTTAGAGCTGTCTTTCACAAATGATATAACAAAAGAAACAAACTTTTAATTTTTGGCAAAAATTTTCAATGATGATTGTTTTAAATTTGTGTATTTTCAAATTATCAGACATTAATCAAGGCATACATAAACACGCCATACAAAAAAAATGAGAATTTTCAGCGTTTTTGAAAAAAAAAATTTAAGTGAAAAGAATAAAAGCCAATATCATCGTATCCAGGACTACGTTATGCACACAAAAAATTAAATTTTGCATGCAACCAATTTTTTTTGGAAAATGCTTGCGTGCGTACAAAATTCGATTTGCGCTTGTAAAAAATAACAAAAAAAATTTTGGGACAAGTTTTCAAAATTACTTTGTGTACTAAATTTTTGTGTCGTATATGGAAATTGTATGGTGAGCATTTTTTTCAAAAAAAGTTTAAAATCAGTTTTTTTTGTCACCAGTCTCTGTTCAACTGTTCTCAGAAAGCCGCAGAAATGGTTTAATTTTTTTTTCAATTTTTTTCGAAAATGTATGAAAATTGTATGACAAGCATTTTCTCCATACACTTGATGTATGGAATTGTATGATAAGCATTTTCGGTGTATGGAGGTCCAACTATTCTCATATAACAAAACGGTCTTTTTTCAATTCCCCTCCAACTTTGAATTTCATTTTTGAAAATTACCTGCACATTATCATAATGCACTAAAAATTGGCCAAACTAACAATGAACAAACAAATAAAACTGAACAGATATGTTCTGCATACTTTACATCGAATTATTACACGTTTAGCCAAAGTTACACGTGAAATAAAGAAAAAACAAGACTGCTCGTATCAGAGCGAAGCCCTGAATAGTTCGACTGCCTTTTAGGGTTCTATGGAGCAGCAAGAACATGAAAAATTTAAATGTAATAAAAAAAAAAAATTTTGTTTAAATTTGAGATTCTTTTTGTGAAAACATCCCCCCACACGCCATATTAAGTACAAAGTGATAGAGTTAGCTCCTATTAACAAATTAGTTATGACATATGATCTTCTTTCAACCAATTTGGAACGATTTCTAAGACGGATTAAGTCTCGCTTACGCGTTAATAGCACGAAATGTATCGCGCGTTAATTGTCCCAAGTTGGCCAAAATGGCAAATTTTACACCCCCACAACTTTACGAAAAATGATCACAGGTAAAATATCTTTTCAAATTTAGGCTCAAGACAGCAATACTTTTCGAATGATATTTAAAAAATTCTGTCAAAAATGGCTAGTTAAAAAGTCGAAATTTGTTTGAAGAAAAAAAACCCACCCCGAGAACAAATATTCCGTTACTTTCGTAGGAACAAAAAAGTCGGAACAAAAATTTTTCCCCATCCGTTTTTCCTTTGCTCCCTTCCCTCTTTTCTCTCTCTCTCTCTCTCTCTCTCTTGTCTTACTCTTACCGATGATGAAGCAAGGGTGATCTGTTCCAATGTTCCTCCCAGGGCATAGCTCGAATTCAATCTTTTTCGCAGCCATCTTCAATGTATTTGCAGATAAACCTCACTAAAATTGAACAAAACTAGCAATGAAAAAGGTTTCAATCTGAAATCTGACTAATCACAAATTATTATAAAAGATTTTCGAAATTTGATATTTGTTTGTTGTTTTTTCGCAGTGAAGGCTGTTTTAAGATACGGAAGATTGGAAAGCAATACAGTGGCACACAAGTGTTTGTATTGGTTGCAAATGCGTCCAACCACGCGTATCCTGAAAACTCTTTACACGAATTAAAAAAAAAGAAAAAATTTCGTTTTAACCTGAAGCAGCTCGTTTAAGAGGAATATATGTTTTTCCTGTGCTGTGCTGTGCTGTGCTGATTTTAAGCAAACGCAGCCACAGGCAAAAAATACCCTCTTTGTAAAATAGTGGACGGGTTGTGTTTTGTTCTATTTTATGTGTTGTATTGAAAACTCAAATAGTTGTTCTGCTGTAAAAGCTTCCGACACAGGATGTGAATATCTGTTTCAAATCCGATGTACAGAAAAAACTGAAATAAACAGCCCAACTGAATGTTTGCGGGTTGAATATTTTTCAGCGGTACAATTCAAGTATGTGAATGGCATTAAACAATGAAGAAAAAAATAATTGAAAGATATGCTTGAGAAAAAAACGGGGGAAAGACTTAGTTTTAAATTACATCTGACTCATGCAAAGAGCATTAGACCTTGATAACTAACAAGCTGCGCAAAAACGGAAGCCTTAAAAGATATCTATTGTTGAAATCTCAACTCAAGTTCAAATCCAAATAGCAGCAAATAAAACAGTGCCCGGCTCAGAACGGCGAAGCTGCCTAGTTTGACACCCTCGCTCAAAGGATCTCCATATGGATTTTTTCTACAATATCCTTGTTGTTGCAAATTAACCTTTAAGCTTTTCAAAGGTGGAACTTTTTGAGTGGTAAGAGGCTTGATTGGCAGGGGACTTGTACCATTTCAGAAAAAGCAATTCATTCTTCAGCTTCAACAGGCACTTATTTTGAGATGGAAATACCTGCTGAACAAAAAACAATTTTGGTCGAAAATGGCTAAAAAATTGGCCTTTGGCTGAATTTAGCAAAAAAGCATAAAATGGCCTGCGGCACAGTTTTTTTAACGTGTCCATAAAGCTCATAAAATGCATTTCGTTGATCTAAAATCAATAGATGAAACTCTTCTTATTTTTTAAGAATACCTAGATCCACTCAAGAAATAATTTTTTCTAACAAATAAAGAATAAGTAAAAGTTTTTTTTTTCAAGCTATGCGTATTGCGAAAAAAGTACAAAAAATTAAGTTTGAGATTTGAAGAGGACCAGCTCGAGCAGACATATAACACAATTTTATTCATCGTCACCCGAGTCGAGATTTTTCACTTAATTTGAAGCAAGATTTGAGCGGTTTGAGCGGTTTTTTTTAGACAATTACGCTCAAAATCTTGCTTCAAAATGAGCGTTTGAGCGGTTTTTAAACGGTTTATCTAAAAAAACCGCTCAAAAACCGCGCAAGATTTGAACGGTTTTGAGCGGTTTATATAAAAAAAAAACGCTCAAAAACCGCGCAAGATTTGAGCGGTTTTGAAAATTGCAACATTTCAAAAACTGAAGAACAACTTTGAAAAGCAATCAGTAACTTCGAAGAAGTAACGCAGTCAGTATGAATGATTACGTCATTGGCTTTGAACGGAAGTATAGTCAACAAAGAAGCATAAAGTGGAGTTATCAGATGCTTTTTTGGCCTTTGAAATAGTCGACAATGCTTTGCTGAATGATAATCACTAGCAGATGGTGCTAACTCCTCGCAGAGTCAAATTTTTGAGTCCATCAAAAGCGCTTTAAACCGCCTTCTCAGCCATAAAACCTCTGAACCTCCTAGCGTTGCTGTTTCTGGAATGAATTAAAAAGTTTTATTTGCAAGGTGGTGATCGAATTATCACTTCTGTGGACAAACTTCGAGACCATGGAGTAGAGGCTTTCAGAGACCTAATATTTGGCCTCAGTACAAAAACTCTGGAGAGCGAAGTCATGTTGTCAACGGACAAATTATCAGATGTGAAGTGTGCGACAAGTTATCACTACGCTTAAAAATGTCCTCACAACTCTCAGACTGCTAATATCACTGAAAGTTTGTCTGAAGTCAATGGATACGAGAAAAGAGAATATAGGACAGAATTCCAAACTCTCATAAAGGAAGCCAATTATTAGGTCAGAGACCTTGTGAATGAGAAGTATAGAAAACGAAAATGTAATCTTTTCTAGTTTACACGATGTACTTGAGTCTTTCTTGCTTTGAACGTTGACTTGATTATAAATTAGTTGGTTGCACGTGTTTGGTAATTCAGTTTTGCATTTTTCCCAATTTTGTATTTGCTGAGTTCTGGTTTTCAATTTCTTTCCCGGAGTTTTCCTGAAAAGTTGAAGTCATCTAAGATGGTTGTCAATTGTCAAATTGGCATATAACAAGAAGGCGGTTCAAAGCGCTTTTGATGGACTCAGAAGTCTGTCTGTGCGATCAGTTAGCACCATCTGATTGTGATTATCATCCAGCAAAGCATTGTCGACTATTTTAAAGCCCAAAACATCATCTGATATTTTCACTTTGTGCTTGTTTGCTTGATAAAACTCCTGTTCAAAGCCAATGACAAAATCATTCATACTGACTGGGTGACTTTTTCTGTAGTTGCTGAATTCAAAATACGCTGATTTTGCCAAATCTACAGAATCTTTCTTGAATTGTTTGCCCAAGTCTACTAAAAGTAATTTTATATCATCGTTTGTACTGAATCAATCAACATCAGGCGTCATAAAAGCTTCTCGTGCTCTTCCAGATAGCGTTAGATCATTAGCAGGAGCTGTTTAAATTGCTGGCAAATCTGTCGGTTTCTCCCACATTTTTGTTTCGGTTTTCCACGTCTCGCACGATGGGGAACTTGTCACAGCCGGTGGGTTGTTGAATGCCTGCATGTCGAACTTTCCCTTGCTGCCAATGACAAAACGGAGTAAAAGGAGAAATACTCAATCAACCCACCGTTGAACACATGTACAAGCTGAAACAAAACAAAAGCATAAACAAGCATTAAGAATGATTTCAAAACTCATGAATGGAAATTGAACAAAACTGGGAGGAATCCCGTCAAAATACGCAATAAATATCAAATAAAATATACCTTATGCGCCCCGTTAGCGTAGTAACGATAAATTTTATTCCACATGTAACTGTTTTTACCAATATGGGAGAGGGCTATAATTTGATGGGAAAGGGTCCAAAATGAAAGTCGTATCGGAATAATTTAAACCCCACTCTCTTAAACTCAATGCGAAAAAGATTGAACTCATTGTGTTCAGTTGAAAACATTCGAAGAGAACGGACGAAAAATATTCAATGACGCTACAAGACAATTTACTAGTGCAAAAAATTAAAGTTAAGTATTTTGGACTTGTTCTAGGCCAAATTTTAACATTCCAAGGAGAATTCAAAATAATTTTGAGAAAATTGGCGTGCGGAATTTATACACTTCAATCAATCAGAACATCATACCCAAATAAAACAAAAATCATGCACATAAATGCGCTTGTCATTGTAACTTTCGACCAGAAGTTTATACCGGCGGATAATTAAGGTAGGTCCTAAAAACGACTGGCTGGCGTCCAAACACTGTTTAACATGATTTTAACCGTCTCCACCAAAACCAGTTCAATGAGCGGTCCATTAACATGGGTCTACAAAGTCATTAATATTCAAGGCTATCGGCCAAACCGTGCAAATTAGTTATTTGCAAAAACACTGACCTCGTGGCTGGGTCTCAGTATCCCCAGATCACGAGGTGACTCCTAAAAACAGGGCTACTTCTTAATTATTATATTATTATTGCTTTGATTCAGTAGTCAAAAATCATCATATCCATCGGAGATAGATCATCCCTTTACCTCAACTCCTAGCTTCTCATATTCTGAAAAACGAATTAGATGTTAATTCAATTCAGTTTAGGACATTCCAGGAAGCTATAAGTTCCGGTCGAAGAGCTGCGTTCTTGGCCATCTTCCCAACAGCACTCCAATTTCTCGGGAATTGCTCGGTAACAACTGTAGCTGTACAACTTTTACAACTCGGAGCATTCTTCAATATTTGATGTATACAATTTCTGGCGTTCGCTATATCTCTTCTTTGTCTTGTTTTTGTTAGCGAAAACCGTCGTTCCTATTTCGACTAGCAAAAAATCGTGTTCCAATTTTCGCGCTTTTTCAGTGGTCGCAAAAATTCAAGGCCGTGATGTCTCTTTAAAAATTTTAAAAATTACTTCGTCACCTAAAATTGATCCTTCCCAATGCTTTCAAAAGAACGGTTACACCACTAATCATTCAAAACAGCAATTTTTCTCACTAAACTGCTCAACACAAAATTTCGTTGATGATATGCTTTTCGGGTCTTTCTGGTCGAATGCCACATACTCCTCGTACAGTTCGGTCAATGTCCTCATTGAACTTCGAGTAACTCATCGGAATGGTACAGTTTCATCAAACAGATTTTACAAAATCCATGAAAAAATTACAATCCATCATTAATCCACATGACATCGACTGCTTAAGTGCTACAATTGGCTTCTGCAACCCGCCTTCTTTCAACACGTCCATAATTTCACTCATGGACACCAAAACGTCTTTGATTGCTGGCCACACCGCAGCCTCTGCCGTTGCTGGCTTTCTGAGTCCGCTCAAGAAACCTCTGCTGTGCAAGTGATCATTGATGCCGGCAAAAATGATCGTTATCAGATTCATTTCGGTTAGCCGTTGAACCCCAACTGCCATTGATATGTATTCATCCAATCCAGATCAGTTCCCGCCAGCATTATCACGATGGGCTAGAACAAGGACTTGGAGGTGTTCACAAAGTCCGAGCTCGCAATTACTACTATCTTCGCCTTTCTCATCTCTGCTTTGCCGTAGGCAGCGAAGATGGTCTCGTTTATTATGAACCTCAACTCACCATATCTTTCTTCATCACCTCCTTGTGTAACAAGCTTCGGATAAGCTTTCTCCTTCACATCAGCTGGAGGCGCTCCTTTAAACATCTTCACTTGTTGCCCAGTGGGTGCCCTTCTTGTCACGAATCTCCCCGGTCTCTCCTCTTTGGTTTCCTCGCCGTGATTCTTCCGTACATCTTGCAATGGTCCCGCATTCAGAGGACCCATGGTGTTATTTGTGGGCAGTTACTCAGCCAATCGTAATGCTGTCGTAGAGCTGAAATAGG